ATTCTTAAAAAAAGAATTACTTGAACAACTCAAATTATAATTTATCACGTAAATGTTAGAAGAATTAAACTCATATGATACTTAACTCAATTACTGGTATGATAATTCATCATGAGAATAATTATTTTTTATATATTAGGAATAAAATTCTCATTATCTGAATGGGTTCAATTTTTCATTAGTAATAGTAAAAAACTGTATCTTTTTAAAAAGGTATCGATTGACCTTAAGATGTCTTATATTCTTATAAAATACACTAACCAATACACTAATTTTGTGAATCAGAGTATACTCATCATTTAAATTTGTATTGACAATGTAAAGTTTATCACTCATCACAGTAAATTTGATAAAAAACACTCTATCATATTGTAGGGTCAGAGAAATAATACTGAACCCTACCCAAATTATCAGTCAGCCTGAATGTATAACAAATTCTAAAGACTGATCACTGGATTTCGTCAAGATCAAAGATGTCCTGTGTTATACAATGAACACATGCATTATAATGGCCGCCTCATGTACAGTACCTTTCTTTAATTTGATCTGTTGAGTATATAACATTCTTTCCAATAAAACTTTAACGGTTCTTGAAATGTTTTGAAGTAGGAAGGACTTGATACCAAGTTAAGTTGGGTCAGGCTAAGAGTTCATTGGATGCCATGACTTTGATGTAGAACTATTTATGTTAGAAAGTCACATCATTCCCGTTCAACCCTAGTGGATGTGGACTGCAGGCCAAACGAGACAAGCAACAGCATTACATCTACAATACTTTCATACAATTCAGCTAAAATTTCCTTTTAGCAATTGAGAAGAATAATGGTGTTGAATATATTCTTCCGATACAATCTAACTGAAATCATTTACTCTGTTTACACATTGCTATTTAAAAGTGAATTTCCCGTTTCTCAAATGAGCTAGTTGGGATTGACTGGCCACCGAAATGACTAGCATATTTGTACCAATGTATCACTGATCAGTGACCAATATCAAGAAGCAAAGGTTCCCTCGAGATTTTAGGTACACCTTGCTGATGAGTGCTAACTAGCAAGAAACCTACGTCCAGAGTTTCCGTCCAAATACCTCTAACTAGCTAAAATGTTTATAAGATGCATAGTTTTCTTGTTCTATCATTTTGAAAATGGTGTAAACACCAAAAGAGTCTAGTCAGTTGATCTACTATGTCTCTAATGTAAATAACTCACATCCTAGTTTTACAGTTCCTTTGATTTAACTGTTGAACTTACCGAGTGACCAGTCTCTGTTGATTAGTAATAAGATCCAGGACAGTTCTCAATTAATTTACTCAACCTTGCGATATGTCTAAAGCAGTTGAAAACTCAAATTAACATGACCCAGAACCTTTTTTCCCAAATAGTGAAAGGTGCTATAAAATCCAACGACTTATCACAAACTAATCTACGATAAAAGACCTATTCACATGGATTTTACTGAATAGGTGTTAGGAAGGAATGATTAAATAACTCAGTAAATTCGTTATATTTGTTGATTGTACTGGTTTAATATTATGATATAGTAAATTGTACTCATCAATTAAATTATTGACTAATTAATAACAAGTACTTTTTAGTTTAATTTGTCCATGATCCCACTTCCAACCGGTTTAAGTAAATTATGTATCATTGTATTCATATAAGACTTTTTAATCAGTTTTAGGTGTCGAATAAATCACTATCATCTTTGTCTTTTACCTTGTTTTGAACAATATCTCCGTTTTTCAGTTTACTTATCATACAAACAAGTTCATTAGGACAAACCGATCTGATCAAGATTAGTTAAAAATCTTACTCCTCTTTAAAGTAGGTGCTGTTGTCTAAATCAATTAATACAACCAACCCAGAGAGCGCAAATCAGCTACAATCATAATTAGAAGCATTTATTAACATATAACCGATCAGGTTATGAAGAGGTTTTGAATCAATTACTTATTCGTTCTAAGTATCACTGAGTTTCAACGTAGTTTAACCGCTTAGACTGCACATTTGTGAATAAACTATCAGAAAAATTAGACAGAACGCTTCAACAAAAAGCTTAATAAATTGAATTGATAACGTACTATTGAAATGTCCAGCACTAATTTGGAATGAACAGCCACTGGATTTACTTAGCTGTCTTCCTCACTATCAATATTCTTAGGAACATTATAAAAAGACTAGTTGCATAATTCAAATACTCAAGAATATCGAAATAAATGAGCCACTAGATTTGTACAGTTTGAAACTGATACCTGATATGAAGAGTAAGAGCTTAGTTAATTTCAATGCGAATGACATAAAAAGATTGATCTTTTTTCCAATCATATGACATGTATCCATATCTTAAGAAGGATTATATATGCTTAATTGTTTAATAAGATAAATGTGTTCACATCGTAAGTTATAGAACTCTTATTATCAAATGTAACTTAGTTCAATTGGAAAAATCTAACTGTGAACAAATCATTTAAAACATGGTGTATTCTTAAATCGTTATGATTTATTTTAGCAGTCGAATAAATCATCACCGGTGTTCATGCCTTTTCTCTTGTGTTCAGGTTATAGTATAGATTAATTCTAGGGTTTTTAAAAGCAGCTAGAAAATCGGATCGAATGTTCAGTTAGCAAACTTATCAATACCTAAAAAAACGACATGCTAAATTTATGTCCTCGGGGTAAATGAAGTTTAGTCGAGGCAGACGGTTTGTTACCATATAAGGGCTTTGACTATGTTCGTGATAAGCATATCGGGAACAAAACAAGGAAGAAAAGTTATGAAGTTGAAACTCAGTAGGACAATGTGAATTCAAATGTTTTGACCAAGTTCTGCTTTCTTGTTTAAATTTAATAAACGTCATAAAATAAAAATAGAACATTGACTGAAATGAAAGAAATCGATATACATTTTGTAAATATATATACTTATCTTTTCAGTTCATTATCATTGTAATCAATATCGTCCTGAAAAAATAAGTATGTATATTTGCGATTGTACAGCTTTGAAAATGAATTCGCCAAAAAGAGAACTCTTCGCTGAACCAATCTTTCTTATTTAATGTCCTACTTAATGGGTGTATTCCGTTTACAAATTTAGTATTCGAGTAATATAGTCAAAAACAATTGACCAGAAGAGATATATGTGCTTCAGGATTATGTATACGTTACAACCACAATCGAAGACAACAGCAATAAAATGACCGAACAGTGATAGATTATCGTGAAAGTTGATTTTAACTGAACAATAAGTGCGAACTAGCCAGCAGTACTTTATTATATTAAAACGCAGTATTACATGCAACACTTAAATACGTTTGAATTAATGGATAATAACCTCACTGAAACTGTAAGATGCCATTCATTTTCGAAATTCGTTGAAGATGCAGCTAAACAGTACAGCGGAACTAGCAGATATTCTTCAAAACTTTGCAACTTTTCCTAATAAAAACCATCTTCTGTTACGATATTAACTGATGAAACAGAGTTAACATCAATCCTGAGCTATTCATCACAAAAAACAAAAAGTTGTGTAATTCTAATCCATTTGCTTATTTTATTTCTAATTTTTTTATAAGATACGGGGCACTGAAAAATAAGTTCGTGAACAGCATTCTTTTTTAAAAAAGCGATACTTCCAAAGTGAAACATGAACACGAAAACAGAAGTTGATATGAGAAAGTGTAACAGGCGTAATTACCGAAAAATACGTACTTTAAAATAGATAATGATAATAGTAATAATAATATTAGTAGTGTTTTCAGTGTATTTTGAGAAACCGGTAATAATCATGTCAAGGACATTTGGAAATAAACAATTGTTTGAATATCGGTCAACTATTATTATAACTGTTATTGACAGTAGTGAGATTGTACATCTGCACACACACACACACACACTAGATATATATATATATATATATAATAGCATTGACCAATTGAATGTCTGGGTGGTGAACACAAATAATAAAATTGTTCGACAGTTTTCTGTCATAAACTCATACTGACCGCCAGAATTAGTGCATACTTGTACAGATGATGTAGGCAAATGTTGATTTCATGAAATAAACATTCTGTGCTATGCTTTAATCCTACCACAAGGCAACCTGAGGACTGTTTTTTAGATTAGACCAAAATTTCGTGCACAAAAATAGAACAATCTGCGTCTTCTCATTATTCTAAGATTGAGGTTGATGTATGTAAAAATGAGCCCAGTGTGAATTGATCATAAAACACTAATGAAAGAATTATTTATCCCTTTTAAAAGACAGAAAAGTTTCAATCCAATATAAGAAATATTTGGTGAATAAAACTATTGAGCATATATATATATATATATATATATATATATATATATATATATATATATATATATATATATATATCCGTTGTTCGTATTTCCCTTAGTAGTAATAATTTCACGGTCGTTTATTCATTAAGGTGGACTCATGAAAACCAAAACAAAACAGTTTATTCTTTATTGAAAATAAAAGGCAAAATACTAAACTAATACCTTCTAAAATAATAATAATAATAATAATAATAATAATGACCTGTTCCTTGCTGAAACGAGAAACAACCGCAAACAATAACACAGAAAACAACGCTTTTTACATACGTGCACAACTGTATACAAACACGTAGTCATATGCATAAATAAGTAACAAAACATACTTATTGGTTACGTTAGAATAAATAGGCATAGGTATTGTATGTGTGTCAAAAATGGAGAGAAAGAGATAAGAAATAAATTATTTGATATATTCTGAAAATGCCATTGGAATGAAATAATTCACGATAAAATATAAGAAAGTCTAAAGAAACGATTGAATATTTGATTAGTATATTCGAGGCAAAAACAATTACAAATCTACATTTCTGTACACAGTCCTGATTATATTATACCCTACATGAACAAACACAGTAGTAATATGGTAGATAATGTCCTGGAAAAGTAAGAATATTCATCAAAATGAAATGGATAAAGAGAGAGGATATTTTAGCACATTTACAGTTGATTATCGCAACCGCCTTTGCTTAATCGATGCTGAGCAATTTCCATAATACCATTCAAGTGTACTAAGGCAGCCAATACAACAAATACATGAAATATTTGATGACTTTGGAACTGAAAATATAAAGGGAAACATTGAAGAATAAAACTTTTTAAAAGATGATACTATGATGATAACAACAGTATGAGTAATACTAAAATATAATTAAGAAAAGTTGAAAAAGGGTATACATGAGAGTCAGTCATCAAATTTGCTGTTAAAGATATGAGGACACTTATCACTCCCGGTTACTTACACCACACGACTCTTCTTTTTCGGAGATCTAAACAGGAAACTGGATTAGCGATGGCATTTAAAACGTAAGGAGTGATCCCCATTGTCCAAGGGACAATTGATTGAGGACAGTCACGCATAGCCGTTTCGTATGTAGTTTTTGGTGTGTCAACCCCATACTTTGAAGGCCTTAAAACAGACAACGGTTGTCTTCGGGGTAATTTGGGATGTTATATTTGGAACGAATCTTTCTAACCTCTCGCCACTGTTGTAGAAGCCAGAATCTTTGCAGATATAGGTTGTCTGAAGAAAAAATCATACTCCCATCACTCTCTGTACAGTCGACAGTGCGATTTTGCCCTCTGATCACTGGTTCAGTGCTTTTGTTCTTACAACCTTCTAAACAACACCCCTGACGTGTTAAAACCTTAAAGAACATATATTCCAATCGATATATTGGATCATCAGAACCAATCCCAACCACCACAAAAAGGTATTAGCTACAATCGGGTGAAATATACAAAACGATAAAAGTATTTTCCAAACTAGAAAATCAGTAATGAACTTGACAGTTCTTGGCTAGAATAAGATACTTTCAAAGTTTGATATTACAGATTCCTTTACAATAAACGATTTATTGAGAAAATCTACCAACTAAGTTTAAAATAGTCCTGTCCATATTTCCCTATTCATATTCTAATAGGCCACCGACCAGGTTAAGAAACGTACTATCTTGAAATAATTACTATAGATATAACTTGCATACATTATTTACGAGCTGCATATTCGACTTCATAATCCGTCTAGAAACTATAGATCTATTCCGAAGGAATGTGGCTGAATAACTGAATAGCTCTACAAAAATCCACACAAAATCTGATCAAAACATTAAAGTGCTTTGCTTTATTTGTCATTTGCTCTAATGAAATTGAAGTGACATGTTTGAATATGAAGATAATTAACAATGAAGTAAAATAAAACTTTATATGCTCTTTTACATTACAAGAGTTAATTTAGAGTAACTGGAATCAAACACATAATATTATATATTCGACGATGTTATTTGAAGTAGTGACTTCAGAGGAATTACTAATATTATGTTTTGGAAACTAAATACAGTGTACAATAAAACGTGATACTGCATCTTTTTGTACAGGTCAAACGAATAATCAGTGGTTTCAACAGACAAATGTGCTACTCCATATTTAGGTTAGTTTACATTTTTACATTCAGTCACATCACACTGGACAGCGAAGTTTACCATAATAGAGGTGTTAGTATAGAGCATGTAAGATGTGCTCCAACTATCCAAGTTTAATGTAAATCCTAACACAATTACTAAACATTCGAACTACTCTATTTAAATAAATTTACTAAAATTATCCACCAAACTCTTGATGTCGGTAACTTAACAGTTAAGTGCAAAAAGCTTTTAGCTAAAACATCTCACAATATCACAAAAGAAAACAACTACTATCATCTCATTGCAAATATTTAGACTGTTAAAAAAAGTATATTCGGGCTGCCACGGTGCGTACCTAAAAATGAAACAACTAAGATTTCACTATATATGCCATAGTCTTATCGATATTATTAATTAATACTTAAAGTTACAATTAGTAACCAATACTAAGGATTCCGACATGGTTTCCACTTTAAGCTAACATCACCTATCAAAAGCTAATGAAAACCAGGGAAATGTTTTGTTCTACTTTGGGACCACCTTTAAAGTAGTACATATTCACACCTATGTACGGCACTCAACCTTAGGCGTTTACTTTTCTCATGGTAAGCAAGATAACTTCAAACTATTGAGTCAAATTTCAATAAGGCTTATGTCAAACTTCAATTACGATTAAATTACCAGTTCATAGTAGAAATCTACCTCCAGGTTTAACAGACATTTATAAATCTCTAACCTAAATATTGCCAAAAATAATGAAACAATGTTGATTTAGTGATAAATAAAACAATTCGATAACTACAAGGGAAATAGTTCACAGTTTGCTGCTTTTGCATAAAATGTTACTTCGCATAGACATAGTGTTACAGCCTGTAAATAGGTGTGGCTAGAAACTAACAACATATTTAAAAGATGCAAAAAATTTGATATGATTTGAAACCAGGCCTAGTTTACATTTTACATAGGAACAAAAACGTACAACAAATGGCTCTGAACGTAGAACACAATATTTACATAATAATGAGTCAGTTTTCAATCCCTCCATATCTTTTTGTTTTAAGTTTGCTGCATTTGTCTTTTTTCCTTTTCCAAATAATTAAAACTTATTTTAGTTTGTAACAACATTAAAAGAACTTAGATATCTAATGAACTCACAATTAATTTCACCGGGTACTCAGTTATGACCCACACTCTAGATTTGAGGGTTAATGATACTACTCACTTGTTCAAACAGAATTAGATCGACTAATGTTCGAATTCGGGACATAACGGCTACAAGCCAAGCTCCGTAACCATTAAGCTGCCTCTCCATATGTACTTATATTGTTCCACCACAACTGCTGTTATTCGCTTACCAAAATTTGAAAATGGTGAGTGGTGAAATGAATTTATTTGATATAAACATTCGCAATTGACTCAAAACGATGTTAATATGTTAGATTCTATGGAATGTTATTTTAAATCAACATATTACTTACAAGAACAATAGGTCTATCGGTTGTGCTTCATAAAATGTTTTAATGTACTTTTGAACTTGTATCATTAAATTATCAAGAAATCAATACACAACTTTAAAAAGTGCTGTGACGAAGTTTATGTAAACTGTGAGTTAGGATCTAGCTACAGAACTCCAAATCAATAATCAGTCAATCATCATCGACACAGAGTCTAACAGATATGAGATCGCCCAAGTTATCATATCACACATCAACATGCGATGAAATTAAGATGATGAATAGCAAAAGAGATCAATATAATATAGTAGCAATGATAATCAGGAAGATCAAACATTAGGAACATGATCCGGAAAAACAGAGTAGAGACGCATATGAGGAGGGATATTAGGATTCACAATCGAGAGGAGGATAAATAACGAATGTATCTGCTCAATTTTAAACGATTTTGAGTCATATTAACTAAAATTTCCAATCACCGATCGCAGTTATTGAGGAAACACCAACAACGTAATCTATATCTAACTGCGTGGAACGGAATACGTTGGAGTTATTTGCACTAATCGGAAACTTATAATACATAGAATGAATCCCTTATATTTTCTTTCCACTAGCTTCTTATTGGTACGAAAACATGTCTTAATCCGGACCTTTAGTTCCCTAATATTAACGTTTTCTAAAAACTCAGATGAAATAGACAATTAAAAGTAACCTAAATACTCAATAATTAAACCAGTGGAAGGTTAAATGTGAATAATATGATTGGACTATAAACGTACAATGTCGATTAAAAGCCAAGTGTAAAGATTTTTATTTATGGATGAATTGAGTTAATAATATTTTTTGAAATAGTTTACTTTGAACAAGAATGTAATCGACAAACCAGAATGAAATAACTTACCCAAATATCAAATTTACCAGGATAAAGACGCTCAGGTATACGTAGTGCATAAATGGTAGCTCCCGATATATATAGTACAGCCATTAGAATAAGCCATCCAAGTGCAGAATAATGAACACCCTCCTGAAGATCTTCAATTAGAATATAATGTACACAAGGAACCACTCCCGACAGACCAAGAGCAATAAACAAAACTGAAATTTACAACGATCAGTAAGTCAACCAAACAAACAAAGTATCAATATTGAACAAAATAAACGCATGGTAATCATAACCTAATTTTCCGTGATGTATAATTACAAAGTGACGATTATCATAGTTACGCAGCCTCACTGACAGAAAACAAGAGTGCGAACAGAAGTGATTTAAGGTTAAAGTGAATAAATAGAATTTTAGAGATACACAGAGTTTGTTAAAATATTTTTGAACGTTTAAACAGTAAAATTTGAATATAAAACAATCTGGTATGGCCATGTGTAAATGACCAATCCGTGCAACTAACATTCTACACAACAAAACGTATATACTCTAGAAATAAACACTGTCCCGGAATTGTCTATGAACAGTAAGATGTTAAAACGTATCTATCTCGAACTTCCTAGATATCGTCGACAACCAATATTTAGTTAACTAAAGTATGTAGACATATTACTCGCTGTTAAAATATCAAAATCATTGCACATGGTGTGTAAGAGTCGAGTATTGAATAAACTAAAGGATTTCATAGATATGACTTCATAGAATGTTTTTGTAATCTGTCAAAGATGCAGCTATATTTGTGCTTTTTACCAATGTATTGAAGTAAAGTTACATGGAAATAATAGTAAATCTGATTAATTCGTTTCTAGTGAACTTAAGAGGACTTCCTTTATTATGAACTGATCTAATCAAATACTGAAACCAATAGAATAGGACATAATCCGATTTACAAATCCAAACCATCAATCAATTATTAATAAGGAAAAATCTTTACGAATAGACATAAATAGGTTAATTAAACTCAATTCTAAGTCTTGGACCCTGTTAAGCGACTTCGTCGATCTCGTTGAAGACTATAAAGCCAACATCGATTCTACGATCAAGTTTTTAATTAGAAGTTTATTCGAAAGTTAGCCTACTTCTTTAAGTCTCCCATCAATTGTTCTAATTTCTTATGATGATTGTTTAATTCAGATGCCTTTTAATTTAGTCACAAATATTTACAGTCCACTAGCATTATTTTCCCCTGCTTATTAAACAATTAAATATTCCTGGCACCAATCATATTTTGTCAGGCCTTTCTAGGATGAATATCGTTACTCTGAGATAGCTTATAAACCAATTATTTGGAAACAGTTTGAGACGAAAGAAAGTGATCTCTTTAAATTAAACTGTTCTCTTCTCCAGTTTCTATTGCAAACATTGACTAATAACGTTATAGCATATTTACCTTCGATTTTGATTGGGACAAACAGAGTAAAATGTAACACACAATTTAACCGAGAATCGATTAACAGTTTCAAGTCACCGGAGAAAAGTGACAAAATACTGCCACATATGTTTTGTCAGTCTTCTCCAGTGACTTGAAACCGATCAGTACTTGATATTTTAACCATTATACAATTAAATCGCGGATACGGTATGCATACATAACTTACGTGCTCTAGCTGCACGATACGTTGGGCTAAGAAAATAATCTTGCGTGCATACAAAAGCGCAAAATCCACCAAGTATCAGCACAGCCAAAATATAAACAAGTTTGAATGAATTATAACAATAGAAAGAATAATGGATCCATGGGATAAATGACCCGATAACAAGTAATGATATTCCAACATAGTCCAATCTGCAAAAAAACAATTAAAGTTACACCGTTTTTCATATAATAATACGCTTAAATATTCTATTTGTAGAAAAAGACGTTTAAATCAAGAGAGAAAGAAGATATGTAAGGTGTAACACCACATGAATTAATTTATTTAAGTGAATCGAGAGATATTTAAAACAATGTATCTAAATAAATACTGAAACTTGGTAGCATAAATGAAGGAAGCTGTGCTTCAGTGATTTTGTGTTGTAACTTGGAGAAATACTAGTATGGATAATATTTATAATTGAGAAAAGATCTTCAAAAAATAAATAACATTTTACCTGATGCTCAATTTATTTGAAATTATCAAGTCTAACCTTGGTAACAAGACTTATGAACAAAGACTGATATGGGTTGATGTAAGGGAATGGGTTAAACTACGGATTAAAACTATATTATGCACTAACAATAATCCCACAACTGATCCAACTACTGATCGACAAGTGTATCAAGTAGTTTTTCACCATAGCTCTATACTAATATATATATGATTTACAACAACAACAACAAAATACTAATCGAATAATCGTGTAACATAATTATCTAACTTTAAAGGGATCATAAAATGATATCAATTTATTAATTGAGTAATTATAAGAAAGAGCATTATTATGGTGAAAGTAATTATCTGTAAACGTTAAAAAATTCAACTAAACAGCTACAAGACTGTATAATATTTAACAAGAGAATTAGAAAAATCTTTTGATAAAAACTAAGTTTTATAGTAGCTGTGTAAGAATCAAGAGACGGATATTGAGATGTAAAAGTACACAAAAGTGACTAAATTCATGAACTTTTCGAATATCTTTTGAAAGAATGAGGTTCAGCTAAAATGCGATTACATATCTGTGGTTAAGGTAGAGAGGGCGGTTGTACAAACTTCTTTTGGAATGCAAAGGTTAGGTTTGTGAACATAGATTCTGACAGCTTCAGCAGTATGTAGAAGACAAACCCGTAAATCATACGGTGATGTCCTGTGTCCACCAAGTGAACAAAAAAAGAACTTTGAATTACTCTTACCTGTTTTTTTGCTAAACCAAGACGAATGGCGTTCTGCTATACGAGTAGGGACTTATCGAATTGTACGTCCTATATAACTTGCTCCTCATAAGCAGTTGAATTAATAAATAATCATGGATATACAGAATTCAGGCAATCTATTTTTAGTAATGGTTCTCATTATTGGACGATTGTTCAGTTTGACTGCAGTAAATGTTTTATGAGTAGCTTTTCTCAACCTATGCGTTACTGTTTCCTTGGTAGCACCACTTAGGAATTGTAACTTCAAGAACAGGGAAATCTTTGAAACGGCTGTTACCTCCGATTTCATTTTTACTCAATTTACCTACTTGTACTAAGAAAGTTAAGAATAATACACAATTTATCTTTAGAGGCGTCATCGGAGCAAACCACTTTGGTACGATGAATCAGGGTCTTTACTAGGTTTCTTTTATACATGATTTGTACAGAACTATAACAATATCTTGTCCGATTGCGAATTTCCTATGTATCCCTTTTACTAATCTTCCGTATAATCTCTTAAGTTGGACGTCTAAAAATGATGTGCTATTATTATGTTCTCCCTTAAGCATGAACTTAGTAGATGGATGAACGTGATTAATTACAATAAGCAAACTATTCTTTATATTCTTATTTTCCATTGCTAAGAAAGTATCATACATGTAGGGACAGTTAGATGTTAGTTGACAGACAGTGTCTTTAAGTTGTCTATTTTCTAGTTTTGCGAGAAAAGTCTGTCAGCGAATGACCCAATGGTGATCACATGGTCGCACCATCTATCTGTCTTTTACTAGGTGTCCGAAAGGGAATCTCCACTAAACTGCATCCGAATTACGCTGTTATATATCATTTAGTCGGTCAACAGTCAAATTTCAGTACACTGAACTGGCAGTACTTGACACAAATTAATGAATAACTTAATACATGTATACAACTTACAACATTAACAGATAAACCGCAGAAACTGACAGTTATAACTAAATTCCTGAGTTATATATTTGGTTTTTCCTATTACTTACTTGGTTTTACACATTTGACATCTTAATATTGACCTTAGCTACTTTAAAATTTCAAGACTGTACAGAGAAAATAAAGGCTCTTTGAAAATTACATTGAACATTATTAACTCTTGTTTTAAAACACGTTCGAAATGCTATATTGTTTTAACTGCTGAAGGTGTTTTTATGTAAAATCACAAAGCGTAAAAGATGTCCATCTTTATCATAATTACCATTAATTTAATTCATAATTAATAAGAATACATGTAGTAGACGTAATAAAACTAAATAATGTGACATTGAAGCAGATATATGGAGCTATGAATAGTGAAATATTTGAGTGAGTTGAAGACTGGAAGTAAGCAACGCCCGTCGCGTTTTTTTTTTAAAAAGTCGTTAAGTCGATAATAAGGTCAAATTAATTCTACAATTTTAAGCAAGTTATATAGAAGAAATAATACTAAGTGTTTGAAATGTTTTGAAAAAACCTTGACGAGTCGTTCACGGAATCCACCACATGAAAATAAACTTTCTTTAAGAGACGAAAAGGGTGTCATTACTAGAAGACATGGGAAATATTTATGATAGATGTATGTAGCTTTGGCCACGGCTTGTTGCAGTTATAATAAGTTTGCACTATTCTTAAGGTTTATAAATCTATATGCTGAATTTCTTAAGATCTCAACAAATAAATATCAAGTTACCGGAATAAAGCAACGATCTATACTGGAAATGATTATAGAAAACTCACTTGTTGAATAATTTACCAACACGTTCTGAATGGCAATAAACTGTGTGAAACAACCATGAAAAACCAAGTGCAAGGATGGCGCTTGTAAAAAATACCTGAACAACCATTTTCTCTTGCCAATGTATATTTAAACCCGGATGAACTAGAAATGAGATACTCAAGATCAGAAAACAAACGAAACCTACAAAAAAGTCGGAAAAATTAGATGACACGTGTCAGGAAGTTGAGTTGATGTGTTAAAACCACCCAATGCACAAAAATGCAGATGCAAAAACAACATAGAATGGATATATCGTGAATATCACAAATATTTACATATTTCCGACAGGTATTATCATTAAGACTTTGAGTTTTAAAATATATGGAACAAAATGTCGGCTTTACTGATTACTATTAAATACGACCTAAATATTAGCAAATAAAAGAATGATATATCTGTTTAATCAGTGATTACTGAGATCAGAGACTAATCAGACAGTGACGTAAATACTGGAAAATTACCTAAAACTTAATAATAGCAAACACAAAACAGTCCACACTCAAAATCTAATAAGGTAATGCTAAAGGTGATATTGTCACTTAGCTTATTGAAGGACCGCCATCAATGAAATGAAATGTTCTCACATATGTATAAATTGTCTGAAGTTTTTAAACATAATTGGGATCTAGCTATTGTTTGGAAGTATTTTCTTCTTTATGGCAGTGAAACATGGTCGGTAAGAGTAGAGGATATTCGTAGGTTACTAGTATTCGATCATAGGTGTCTTCGAAACATTGCTCGTATATCCTGGGACCATCGAGTAAGTAACACAGTTGTTAGGGATCGGGTACTAGGTAAGGATGGCAAATCAATTGATGAAGTAGTGAAACTTCATCAGTTGAGGTGGCTGGAACACGTGTTACGTATGCCCAACGACCGACTGCCTCGACGTGCTATGTTCAGTGGTATAGGAGTAGGTTGGAAGAAAGCTAGGGTCAGCCAGACCAAAACATGGCACAAGTCCATGAAGTCACTGACAAGTGGACTGAGTCATGTTGGTACGTGCAGACTACCTGGTTGGGGACCGCGAGATGATAGCAACCGATGGTTAGAGACCCTGAATGACATGGCTCAAAATCGTTTGCAATGGCGCAGGTGCATCCACTCTCTGTGTTCTCCGAAATTCTAATCTTCTGAATTCTTCGTCCCTTTTTTCCTCTTTCCAAATCTATTTCACTGGATTATACTCCTTGAATAACATCTCCAAACCCTAATCTTCCCGATTACTGCTTATACTCTTATTACCTCTACCACTACGGGATTTGAATCGACAACTGAATCTCTGTGCTAATGTGGTGTGGCAACTCGAACTGATGTACGTACGTACGAAGTTCTACGTTGTTACTGACTGACTGACTTGGAAGTATTTTAGAGCTTTTTTTGTTGACTTGAAAATAATGAATATATATTTGGTCACTTGGATTATGTGAAGCCACTACTTAGTCATCTTAATATAGTAAGCAGTTAAAAACCAGTTTTCATCTATCTAAAAGAAAAGATATATATCTTACGAAAAGAAGACCTCTGAATTTGAGTTTTCTAATAGTGTGACAGTTTGAGGCGGAAACGCAATGCAATCACCGAGACAATTAAGTAAAAATGGAATGAAATTCCACAAATTATTACACGGTGACAGAAATATATTACTTTAACTACGGAAATGTAAATGGCTCTTAGTCAAAAACTACACTTTCGGACTTATCCTGTAGACTGAAACATAAGAGCAGTAACAAAAAACCCAAGATGTTTTACATCCATTAACATGGGAACGTAGAACGCAAACACCACACAATGCCATCAAAGCAATAATGATGCCCAACAAATTGTATTTATGCCAGAGAACCTACACGTTGAGGTCTCAGCATATATCTGAAATATGTGGACTTTTTATGAATTAGAAGTCAAAAAATTAAGACTTACAGGGACCTCTACCTAATGCAAAATCTATACAGGTCTTAATGACACCATTATGATATTTCTCTAAAAAAACATCCAGTGAGGCGTGTTACGAGTTATCAATAATGCTCACAGTTCAAGGTTACGAGGAAGACCAAGAAAAGTAACAACACAGACAATCAATACAAACGTAATAGGTATGTGTCGACAAGATTTGTTTCGTAAGTTGGAGTCAAAGTGGAATAAGATGGATGCCAATATTAACACACAAATCATTGACGATTTACCAATGAGATGTGTCCAAATATTTCCTGTTTCCGTATGAAGTCGGAAGATAGAACGGAAGCATTCACGAAATGATGGGAGTTGCGGACGGTGACCCCGGAGGATAAAATCGTTGTCTTTTAACCAGTGTGGTAAGCTATGGTGATGAACTACTCTCCACCCTTTTTTCCAAAGGTGAATAACCAACTCTTCTGCTTGTTCTACAGCCCTACTAGCAGCCTCTCCAATCTCATGAGCTGCGAACGTAAAGTAATCTCCACCATAACTAGCAGATCGACGATGTGCGCACAAGGGAGAGTGATTTGTTTTGGGAACAGTTAGTGACTGCAAGTCTGTAACAGACGAATTTAGATCCCAAGACGGTTGTGGTGTATATGCGTTGGTGGCCACATGGTTTGAAGAATCGCTGGGCAGGCAAAACTTCGGCAACTTTCGCCTCCTGACAGCAGACTGTGGCATCCAATCTGCATCTGTTTGATTTGAGATCAGAGGATCACAGAAAGATGAGGTGATACAGGCAGACCCCTCTGAACGCATCCGTCTATGTTTACCAAGCGTGTTCTGCATATTATCCTATATAAGAGAATTAGAAAACACTTGGAGTGATATTTACGTGTTGAGAAGAAACATGGTGAATATTATGCGACAAATAGTCCGCTGGTCTAAAAGAACTCCCCATCATTGAATGGAAACACACGTAAAGAGCGCTCAATCAGCTGATTCTGGTTCAATGAACGGACTAAATAACATGATCCAACATAACAAATGAACATTACAAGATCTTAAATGACTCAAATAACGGTGAGGTTAATCTCATTAAGCTTTGTCTCGGATTTCTTTTTGCTTTATTTTCCGGTTTAGCTTGATATAGTCCTATGACAACTTAAGAAAAAAATCAAATGGAAGGTTTCAGCTTCATTTTGGAGAGGAAAGTAGTCTATGTGGCTTGTGTTAGTCCCATCGTTGGTGATCTGCCAGTTGATCCAACTCGTATTTGAAAGCTTCGTCCGATGGAGCTTCAGTCTCGTGTCGAATTAATGGATTCTATTCGTTGATAATTCGATGAGAAATTTGATAGTCATGTGGAGATAGACAAATAATTTGTTCTGAGTTTGTGAACATCTTCAGAGTGTCCTCATAATTTCTTTGTTATTGCAGGGCATTTCAGATTCAATTTCAGTATAAGGTCATCTAAAATTTTTGATCAAGTCGCCTCTGGTCCTTCTATGTGACAAAGAAAATAGTTTACAGTTGAGCATCATACAGGAACTTCGCTATTCCGGAAATGAGCTTAGTTACGATTCTTTGAACCTTCTGCAACAGCTCGCTGTCTCTTTTTAGCCAGGATCTAGCCGTTTGAATGCGATACTCGAGTTTAGGAAGAAGGAACATTGCATACAAAGTCAAAAGGGTTTTAGCTCCAACATAGCTTAAAGGCCTACGTATCTTTTACAACTATCGCACAGCAGTATAGAGAGGTTTTAAATCTTGACTAACGACGTCTCCTAAGTCATTATGTGTCTGAAAAACATGTAGACCAGTGCTACTCACGGTGTACGTATATGTACCTTGGTGACCAATATTCATCACGATGCACTTGAAAGTGTTTATCGGCAACGGCCAAATTTTAGACCAGTCAGATAATATCTCAATATCATTTCGAAGTTCTAAACTATCACTCCTACTTTTTATCACTCTCCATATCTTGAAATCCTCAGCATATAACAAAAACTGATGATGACTGGGAAGGTCATTTACATACAAGAGGAACAACACTCCCACAAACTGCACCCTGAGGCACTCCACTAAGCACAGCTTCCTGGTTAGAGGACGTTGGGCTCATTTGTACTCTCTGTTGACACCCAACCAAGAAGTCTCAACATTATTTACGTTGCCTAAGTAATTTAAGAATACCTTAACTTTACCATAATGGTCCTGCTTTGATAATGAAGTACTTCTGTCTCCTCGTAATGCTAGAATATTTCCTTTTCTCCTAGTCCTTTGGTTTATGCATCAGTATGGGCGTTTAATATACTTAAAAGACTCCTTGAAAAGTCTTTGCTCGTACAAATATTTAGACTTTCAGAAGATCGAAGCAGAATTATTTCGAGCTTCCTGGTTTTGAGATTTTGCTTCGTCGGCTCCCTGTAACGTAAATATTTTCCCCATTTCTCTCCTCATAATGAGAAGGGTTCGAACCTCTTTGCTTAACCACAGTGGGGAATTTCTCTAACTGTTTGGTATAGTCCAAGGGATGTGTGGTGCGATGACAGTAGTTGCACCAAAGTCTCCATTGATTAAAAGCCAACCACTTGAACCCATTTGGCAAGACCTAATTCATTTCACAGTATGAACTGAAGTAGACAGCTTTCGCTTTTTGTATTTCAAGCGGCAACTAACTACTTTACAACTCCCAACTTTATGGGATATTTTATCACTAACGGCAAGTGGAATATTTCTTATGAGCAGATCTGGAGAATAATGGTCTACTATGATATTTGTACTGCTTTGATGATAGATCTAATCCTAAAATTGTACACTTGTAATGATGTAACTGCATAATCTATAAGACCTTACGTGGAAGTCACATCACTGTCTATACTGACTCATCGTGTCATAACAATTACCAATATATGATAAGGAACACATCTCGGCTAGAGATAGAACAATATATTTAGTATGAATAAAAGGTATATAACAACACTATATGGTGATCACGCCTGCAATGCCGAGCCATGCCATCCAGTCAATTCGAATTAATTCAATTCCTTCTTCCCGCCTTCTCCATTGTTAGGTTTTTCTCCACGTTGAATATTGAATATCAAGTTTACCAGTTGTCTGTTGCTCATCTTTGACCATTGTGTGGTTAGGGCCAATATCAATACAGATCTACTTATCCTCCTTTAAGCCTCTGGATTTTGTTGGCTATTGTGAAACCTTCGAAACATATTCACTACTGTCTAAAAACGGTGTCAGCTAAGTTTCGTTGAGTGTGATTGCAATCGACCTGATAGAGTCTGTCTATACAGCTACCTAGATTAGCTTGCTGAACAAGCTCCAAGCATTTGTGTCACAGACTCGAAGACCATTTAAATTACTTCGTGTGCTAATGACTAAGTTTACTATACTGTAACCCAACTGCTTCCTTTACAAGTCCAGATGAAACGGGGCTAAACTAGGATTTAAGAGGATATTCAGTGCTTTCTAGCTTGCTGCAATCCATTACAAAGTCGTCTCTGAGTCGTCTATATCCTAAGTTGTAAAGATCACGATTTTAGGGCGTTTCTCGAGATGTGAAGGTAAACTATTCTGCCAACATAAAACAGATGTTGATGGAAATATCACAAAAGATATAAGTGGGATTGTTAGAGGCGGTAGACAACATCTTGAAGTAAGGGTAAAAGCCAGAATTCCACGACTTATCGGAGTTTCTGGAAAACATAGCGTGACTTACCACAAATACTTAGGGGCAACTGGCAAGTAGAAGCTACACATCTCAGACAAAATCAGTATGTAACTAATCCACGTCGATACGAGCTAAGTACCATGCACTGTCGAGCCTTAATAAGAGTCATTATCAAGTCCGTTCTGGTGTTCATGTGCACTCGTTCAGTGCATGGATGTTGACAGAGGATCACAAGTTGTGGGAAGATATAATGAAGAGGGCCAATTTGTGTTTTCATTGTTTAAAGCCTGATCACCTAGCGACAGGCTGTTCACTATCCATGAAGTGCCATATTGGTTGTCATAAACAACGGCATCACTAGCTTGCCATAATACAGAGCCTGTGATTAGGCACACTTATTCAGTCACATTTATTAAACCGGAGGTTGCTTCTTATTTTTACCTCTTCAATTACCTGAACCTACGGAATGAGTGGATAAGTATGCTTTATTAGATAGGGTGTACGATACGATGCTACAATTAGGTGATGTAGCAAAGCAGGTGAGAACACTTGGAACAGCCGCCTGTTAAATGTGTAGAATTATGGTCTACTATGATATTAGTACTGCTCTAATAATAGACCTAATCCTAAATTTGTAGCTTTGTCATGATATAACTGCCTAATCCATAAGATCTTACGTGGAAGTCACACCATCGACTACATCAACTCACTGTATCGTATCAATTACCAATACATGATGTAGAACAAGGTTAGGCTAGAGAAAGAACAATATATTTAATATGAATAGAAGATATAAAGTAACATTGAGATGGACCACGCCTGCATGGACGAGCCATGCCATCCGATCAAACCCAGTCCATTCAATTCATTCTTCGCGCCTTCTCTATTGTTAGGTATTTATCCGCGTTAAATATTGAATATCTATTTTCTGAGTAGTCTCGTGTTCAGCTTAGTGGATTGTGTGGCTATTGTCCAATGCCACTACAAATGTACCCCCATCAGTGGAACGTCCTGTTTTATATCGGTACTCATTTGTTTTAAGCTTGAATGATTATATAGGGCTAACCGAATAAAGAATAACAGAGCGTACATTGTTGATAACCTTCCTACTAAGATAGTAGAAATCCGACGGACCAATATACCTCAAGATGGTGTCACTTGAGAGTTGGACAGCTACTTATTATAATACGTAAGGGAGTAAGGCTGTTGATCGAAGTTGCTGTTTCATAAGCTCACTGGGTTCTCGGTGAATGCTGAAGAAGCACTTAGCATTCAAATGCGTTGTCGAATATGCTAGGGTGAACATTGTTCGGACCAGTACATTAAACTGTTTAGAGGTGAAAACATCGATCGAGAACAACATCATCAAAAGGTGTCACCATGGATTTTCGGAAAACCAACACTGATGGGATTGCCATGTCGTGGTTTGATAAAACGATTTTAGGGATTACAGACAAACTGACAGAACTTTACAGCGACCATTGTCAAGTGTTGTAACTATGGAAGACGCAGCGGAATTTGCTTACAGAGGATAAGTGCGAGACAGAAAAACTACCGAGCTATTGCGTGAAAGATTATTGAAAGACGAGCATCTTCTTAAGCAACCATCAGTTTGTCGGCCTTGAAAAACCATCAGTAAAATGGAGATATTGTTCTAACTAGGGTCATATGAAACTTTCACACTAAACAATTTTTCATTCACAAGTGCCAGATTTCCCACGAATAAATCCCTTGAGTCTTTTCACTTGGGAAGTTGAAGAGATAACATGTTCAGATAGACTAGATGTTGAGGGGTATTTCATGTCCAAGTCATAATATCTGCAAATCATAATGCAGACGAAAATATGTAAATATCGAGGGCAATAAAAGAAGTTTGAGGAAAATGGGAAAAACGAAGAAACGATGATTTATGAACTGCACGTAGTTGAGGGGTTTAACAAGCTTATAAACACGTAAACACATGGATTCCCTCATAGTTACAACAATCATAAATACAGTCACTCATTATGACAGGCACTGAAGTACAATGAGTGAGCAAAACAAATCTAAGGCAGTCAGAGTGAGTGACTTTCTCACAATGGGAATACATTTTATGCCCCAGATATCAACATAAAGTGCATCAGCAAAAATTATCTTAATACCATTGTAAGAGAAAGAGAACAGTAAAAATACCTCTGCAGCTTCTTTGTTGAACAGTATTTTCATTTATTTGTTCCTTCTCCCTTTTGTGTATTCCAACCTTTGTTTCGATCTCGTTTAACCATGTCTTTTGTTCT